CCCCCGGGCTCGTGCGCCCGCCCCCGCCTCTCACTGTGGCTGGCCCTGGTCCTGGCCCACATCACTGCCGGTCAGCCTCGGTCTGCTCTGTCTCGGCTTCTCTGTGGGGCTCCACACTGGCCTCTCCTCCCTGCGGAGGAGACTCCCGAGCTGCAGGGTCATGACTGCACTCCCACCTCCTCAGGGCCATGCTGGCGTCCTCCCTGCCGCTGGCGTGGTCTGGCTGCGTCCAGCCTGCAAAGCCATCGGCTCTTAAGGAATGAGGTCAGAGACTCACTGCACTGGCTTTAGTAGGAGACCTGCTGGCTCAGAGCAGCTGGGAATAAGCTGTTCAACCTGCAGGTTCCAGGCCGCCCCCCAACCCTTCACACCTGGTCTGGGAATGCAAATTCTGGACCCCTGGACATTCATTCCAGGCCCTCCTTTGCTCTGTCTTTCCACTGGGTCCAAACCTGGTGCCGCCATGCCCTGACACCCCCTGTGCCAGTCCTTCCCAGAGCCTGCCTGAGGCTGCCCGGCACCCATGGAAGGAGCAGGAGGCTCCCCCTGCTGGTGGGTTGCAGCACACTGCAGGAGCCCTGGTCAGGTTCAGGGGGCTGGCCCCGCCTGGCTGCAGACCAGCAGGGCTTCTTCACCATGTGTGGGAAGAGAGCACCCCCCACCCCGACACAACAGCCCTGAGCAGGGCTCCTGACTGTCACCAGCCAGCCCACCACCGATGTCCCAGGAAATCCCCCTGCCCCCATACACCTGCTAGCTCCTGGCTCAGCCTGAGGGCCAACTCCAGCTACACCCAAAGAAGCCGCACTGCTTGCTAGGTCAGGGCTGTGTAGCCAAGGGGGCCGCCGTGGCCCAGCTGGTTCATGCCAAGGCCGGTGCCCCCGTTCTGTGGGCAGGACACCGAGGCTGGGAGCAAACGAACCAGAGCCTGTGCCAAGGGGGCCTCCCAGGCTCGCGGGGCCGCAGTGACTGCTTGGCCTGCCCGTCAGGGCACCTGTTCAGCCTACGGCGTCCTGGGCAGGGTGTCCCCCCTCCACTTGAATGAGGCCGATCTCAGAAGCTGGTGATGGTACTGGGGGAGTCAGAGCCTGCACACAGGGCTGAGGCGAGGTGGGGGACACCTGCGTCCTGTCTGCCTGCCTGTCCTCCCATCAGCTGAGTGCAATCTCTGAGAACCGGTGTGGCCCCAAGCCCTGGACTTGAGTGCACACAGAACCAGAGCAAAGAACGAGTCTGGCATTGCTTCTGTGATCTGTGCAGCTTCAGGGCCTAGAGGAGTCAGGGAGGGCTCTCTGGAGGAAGGGCTCCAATGGAGACCAGAGCCTTTACTGAAAAGAAAGATTTTTTGAGTGTGTGTGCCGAGGACTTTGGGGAGCTGGGGAGGGGCTGTACTTGCGGTAGCTGTGGATCTGAGGCCAGGGAGATGCAAGGTGGCAGGGCCAGAAACTAGGAAGGAAGGCTGTTCCTAGGGCTCTGAGGAGTTGCCAGGGTTCAGAGTAATGTGGTAGGCAAGGTGAGACCCCCTGGGGCAACTGTCCTGGGGGGAGGATGGGCAGAAGGGGGAGGCCAGGTGAGCCCAGAGGGACTGGGTGTGGAGAAGGCGCCTGAGCTGGACCCCTTGAGGCCCACCTCCTCCACCGCCCCAACCAGGGGTGGCCGCACCATGGCGGCGGGGTCCCCGTAGTACTGCGAGCCACGAGGGCTATCTTGCCAGCTCTGCCCCCTGCTTTCCCTTTGCTTTTCTTTTTTTGGAAGCCACACGCCAGCTAGGAGCCAAGACCCGCCTTGCTGGATAAATATTTAATAGAAGCACTTTCTAAAACAGAAAAATAGATCTGGGCCCTGGAGACCCGAGGGGCTGGGGTGGAGGCGTGGCCCAGACGTGCAGCCGCAGTAGCAAGGGCCCCTGTTTACAGCCCCGCCCCACCCAACGTGCTCCGCGCCCTCCTCCTCCTCCTCCTCCTCCTCCTCCTCGCTGGCCCCAGCCTGTGCTTGTGAGGGTGGAGCAGTACTGGGGCCCCTGCAGACAGCCCTCAGGACTCTCTCCTGCAGGCGCCTCATTGCAGGGGCGCAGGGAGTGGGAACGTGGGGTAGCTGTGAGCTGCTAGCCGAGCATGGGCCATTCTGCTCCGGAGTCCAGGCAGGATCGCAAGCCCCACTCCAGCCTGGACACAGCACAGATGTGGGTCTGGTGCTGGGAGCACAGCTGGACAAAGGGGAGCTGCCAGGGTGCTGGTTGATGCAGGGGCTACCCACTGGGGGCTGCCAGGGTTCTGGCCGCTGGGTGGCACCAAAGCCCCTTTGTTGGGGGCTGAGCCTCAGCCCTCTGCCCGCTCTGGGGTGGTGGGAGACTGCACCTGCCAGCAGGGCACCAGCTCTGCCCCTCCCATGTGGCCTGGTCCCTCCCCTGGCTGAGCCGCTGTTCCTAAGAGCTGCCAGGCTCTGGAGCCCTGTGTGCAGCGACCTCAGCTCACCCGGGTCGAGGTGGCCTCCTGCAGGGTGCAGGCCTGGCTCCTGGCAGCACCAGCACCATGGGCCCCGGCATGACACATGGCCTGAGAATGCTGCGCCTTGGCCTCCTCCCCTTCACTGTGAGCCGCCTGCCCGGCTGGCCTACCAGCCTCCCAGGTCCAGGCGGCCTTGCCTAGGGCCAGCCGGGCGGCCAGCATGAGTGCAGTGCTGGACAGCTAGGCCTGTGGTGGGTGGCCTGTGGTGCTCAGCTGCACCTCCCGCTGCCCCCTGAGCCTGACCACTCGGAGCCAGGGGCTTCAGGTGGGACCTCCATGAGCTGTGCCAGGTGGGCAAAGCCTACTGAGGGCTGGGGGTGCCCCCAGCGGAGCCAAATGGCATTGAAAGGTTCCTGCCGATAACCGGCCGATCCTCCTTGTCCAGGGAGTGCTACGGCGACCCCCATGAACCATAAAAGTTGGTTCTTGATGCAAAGTACAAGAGGCTTTATTTCTAGCACGCTAGGACTTCACTCCCAGTCATGCAAGACACGATGGCGAGTGAAGCCCCGAACAAAGGGGCATTCAGGTTATATAGACACAAGTCCGTGGAAAGAATGAGGAAGTAAGATAAGGGGCTTTCTACATAGAAAGTGGCCCCGGGCTTCCACAACTTTAGCAGTTTATAATGAGAGCGGCATCAGCTTTAGTACAGAAGAGAAAAGGGGAAGGTTAAACTTTATGTTTACAAAACAGGATAGGCACCGTTTAATTTTATTCTTACATTATCGGGGCAAGTGAGGGGCACCCCTGGCTCTCACCTCCTGGCCACTCCCCTTCCTGCACGTCTGCCCAGGCTGCCTGCACCCACTGCCCTCTGCTTGCTGGCTGCCTGAGGAGCCCGCTGGGAGGGCTCCCACCCCCAGAGTCTGGAGAGGGCCTAGGGGGCTGCACATTCTCACGGCAGAGCCTGTGCAGGAGCAGGGTGGGTGGTGGGTTGGGGGTGGCCGTGCAGCCCAGTCTCTGGCTGTTGAGAGGTGGGCTGCTTGAGGCTATTCACCGTCCAGGCCCCCAGGGTGGCGCAGCGGAGCAGGGCGGGTACTGGAGTCAGAGGACTGTGGGGGGTTTTAGGGCGGGTGTGGGTTGAGTAGTGAGGTGGAGGTGGGGTGGGTGTCCTGACCCTCTGTCAGCAGCACCCTCCCTGGTCTCATGCCAGCCTGGGGGAGCCTCTGGGCTTGTGCTGACTCAGCCACCCTGGCCGTGGGCAAGTCCCAGCTGAGAGCTGTCTGGGGGGCTCTCCTGCCTCTGGCGGGGTCCTTTCTACCTGCGAGTGCTTAGAGGGGCGAGGCGGGGTCCTCAAGCCCCTTGCCCATTTGCCCACCGGAGTCCCCTGCTCCTTTGCAGACCCTGGGCCGCTCCTGGCTGTCCTGTGGGGATGGCCGGCTCCCTGTAGCTCCTCTGCCTGCTTCTGCCCTCAGTCCCCCAAGGTGTCCCCAGGCTGGGTGTGTGAGAAGGGGTGTCTCTGGCCTCCCCTGCTGGGAGGGGAGGTCCCCTGGCTGAGGCCCTGGGGTCCCCGCAGGCCTGCAGATGCAGGCTGCCCTGAGGGTCCCAGGTCGCGCCCTGCCCCGGGCCCTTGGGCTGGGGTGTTCCTTGGCTGCCTTGCGCGGCAGACAGGAAAGGTGAGGCTTATTTACCACGGCTGCTCTGGGCCATGAGAGGCGAGGGCTGCAGCCACATTTGGACCGAGAGGACTGGCAAAGCGGCCAGTGGGGCTCCGGCAATGGCAGCTGCCCTGGCCCAACCTAGAACTTGGTCCTGCCCAGCTGTGCCCGCCCCTTCTCTGCCCTGGCCTCTGCCCTGGCACCCTCAGGGAAACTGAGGCAGGGGGTCTGCACGGGACCTGTCCAACTGGAGGTGGGCTTCACATCTCTGTCCATCTGTCTGTCTACACAGCGGGTCAGCTGGCTCAGCCAGCAGCTGACTCAGGAGGGCGTTTCTGCAGTCAGCTGCTTGGCGTGGGGGGGAGCACTCAGGGCGGGTCCGCAGCTCCAGAAGCTGGGCCTGTAGGGGACCCGCCTTTCCCCCCTGGGGGGTGGTCCTGGCAGGCTCTGAGCCTGAGGAGGCGGGAGGAGGGATAGTGTGGGGAGGGGCCACCAGGAGCAACTGGTAGGGACAGGCCTGGGCGGCAGGCTGCAGGTGAGGGAGCTGACAGCCCGGGACCAGCCAGGTGAGGGTAAGCCACTCTCTGCAGCCTCGCTGTGCCCTCGCCCTTCCGCACTGCTAGCAGGGCCGGGGGCTGTTCTCGGGGAAGACAGCACCCTGGGCAGGGGTGACAAGGCTGGCTCAGGGCAGAGGGCCCGGGTGCCAGGAAGAAGCCGTGCTCAGTCCCACCCAGCCCTCAGGCCGGCCCTTGCGCCACTGGACTTCAGAGCTGGCCCTGGCACTGGGCGGTAGGGACAGTGTCCCTTGTTTGGAGGGAGCCTGGGCCATGGGAGAGGCCGCCTGTGCCCAAGGACGCAGCCCCAAGGTCGGCGCGTGGCCCACAGGGCCTGCAGCCGGTGGCTGTGTGCTTATGTGTACACGCAGGGCGGGGTCAGGCGAGCAGACCCAGGCTTCTTCCCTGGAGGTCCCCAGGCGGGCTTCGGGCTGCCCCACAGACGGCACTGCTGGGCATCTGGGCTGTGCAGCCTCAGCCTGAGGGGCGGGCACGATGGGCAGTGCGGTCCGCCATGGGTGCGGGCGCTCCTTTAGGCTGTGGACCTCATGGAGCTGAGCTGGTGTTCTGGCCTGTGCTTTGGCTTCTCCAGCACAGGAAGTGGGAGGCCTCACCCTATCCACCCCTACATCAGCACTCGTGTCCTCCTGTGGGCCAGGCCCTGCGTGCAAGGCAAGCCACCCACAGTCTGAGTTCTCCCGGCAGAAGGGACAGCATATGGGGAGGCCGCAGGCAGGGCCAGTGAGGGCTGGGAGGCTGCAAGACTAGGTGGGCAGGCGTGAGGGGGCTCCCAGGCCAGGCTGACCAGCAGATGGGAGCTATAGAAGGATGTTTCGGGAGAGGGTGATGTGAACAGCCTCGTGGTACAGCTGGGCACCCCAGGGTGGGGA